CTATCAATAAGACACAGACTGTGTTGAATTGCCTAGCTAGATTATTGACTTGTGAAACAGCCTACAAGATATAGCTTGAAAAAATCTCGTCAAAAGGTTAGCGACCTTGTTACGCGACGCGACTACCAAAAAAAGTGAGTGCTCATGACGTCAACGAAGCCCCAAGCCTACCTACCCAACGACTTTTGCCGCTTGAGCACGCGACCACCAAAACAAAGTTACAACTTATCCACAACAAACGACAACCAACACCTTCGTCGATACCAGCCGCGGAATACTCTGCCTGCGAGCGCCCGCCGTCGTTCATCACTCAATACACTCAATACAGTCACGACCCAGCCCGCCGCCGCCGCCGCCCCGGCCTTGCCCCGCCGTCGCGATGCCTTTGCCCCGTGCCCGCGCCGCTGCCGATTTTCGCGTATGGCTCGGCACCGTGTGGCCCGATCTCATCGCCATGGCCATTGTCGGCGCCGCAGCCCTTGCCGTACGTCTCTGATCTTGTCTGACTTGGCGAAAAAAATAATAAAAAAAACCCCCCCCCCGTACTGATCCGTTTAGATCTACTATGCGCCCATCAAGTCCACACGCACGTTTCCCATCACCTTTGACAGTTCTGGCGACATTGTCTTTCCGCAATACGCCTACCCGGACCGCGGCTGGCTGCTCGCCGCCCCGCAAGCCGGCGCGCTCTCCATCGGCGGGCCCATCCTCGTCTACCTCGTCGCCAACGCCCTCCGCCTGCGCTGCGTCTGGGACGCCGGCAACGCGACGCTCGGCACCGCCTGGGCCGCTCTCCTCGGCTCCCTGTGCCAGGTCGTGCTCAAGCAGCTCGTCGGCGGCTTTCGCCCCTACTTTCTCGCCGTCTGCATGCCCGACCCCGCGCGCGCCGCTTTGCCCGGCCGCAACGCCACCGGTCTCGACGGCTCCGGCTTTCGCCGCCTCATGTACACGACGGACATTTGCGCGCAGCCCAACCCCCACGCGCTCAAAAACGCCACGACGGCGTTTCCCAGCGGCCACGCCACCGCTGCCTTTGCCGGCTGCGGTTTCCTCTTCCTCTGGACCGTGGCCAAGCTCAAGGTCTGGGCCGACCACCGCCCGGCGTTTTGGAAGCTGGTCCTCGCGCTGCTGCCGCTGCTCGCCGCCGCCACCATGGCCGGCATGCTGACCGTTGATGCTGCGCACAGCTGGTACGATATTGCCGCGGGCGCCGTCATCGGGTCCGTCTGCGCGCTGGCGTCGTACCGCGCGTCGTACGCGGCCGTTTGGGACTGGCGCTACAATCACATCCCGCTGCGACCGGGCCAGCCGTTTGCGTTTGATGCCGAGGGGGAGGCGGAGCATGTCGCGGGGACGATTGCGCAGACGGCGGGATGGGGCGCGGCGAGGAAGAGCTGGCTGCCAGAGGAGGAGGAGTCGGTGCCGAGCGGGAGTGGTGCGGTGGGCAGACGGGCATATGGCTGGCACCAAGGCGATGACGTGCATTCGCAGGGTACCCTGATGAATAGCGGCATCTCTCATACAGCAGTAAATTCGGTATAGATTGGCTTTGCATACTCACATTGTTCGTTTTACATGCTCATTTTCGCATGCTACAAAAAGCACGATACCCACAACAAGCCTCTCTACAGCAAATAAGCAGTACAATCAAGTAATAGTTAATCAAGCATTTAGGGTATATATAGCGGGCATTGTGACATGTGCAAGTCATCACTGTGTTAGTCACCGTGTAAGCAGGCGTCCTTGGCTACGAGAGCGGCGACGGTCGAGGTGGCTGCACAATCTACTCTCTAATCTCACTCTCATAATCATTGCATCATTCATGCTCGTAAATTTGTCGTCAACACGCTCACTCATTCCGGCAATCCCACTCCACCCACCTCCGAATCACCTCATCCACCCTCCTCACCTCTTCTCTCGTCGCCCCAACCTCGAACCACTCTCTGTGATCTCTCCCGCAGGCCTTGCACGTTTCCCTTTCCGCTCGCAGCCCCAAGCCCGTAAGCTCAATGTGCGTCAGCCGCTCCACGCGCTTCGCGTGCGGCGTCATCATGCCCGCCGTCGTCGTCGCTGGGGGCGAGTCGCTCCCTCGTCTGTTCCGACCAGGCGACGGCGTCGGCGTCGACGACGTGTAGGGATAGTACCGCAAAACCTCGACGTCGTAGCCGCACTGGCGCTGCCACTGATTCATCCGCCGCTGGACATTGGCGGCGCGGCCAATCTTGAGGAGCATCGTCTGCTTGCCCAGCCGGCCGTCGCTGCGACGACGCGACTGCGAGGCGTAGCGGGAGACGGTGTCACTGGCGCGGCGGCCCTGAGCCGCGGATGACGGTGGCGGCGGCGGGGCGAGGAGTGATCGGGCGGCTTCGACGGGGGCTCGTTGGCGACTGTCACCAGCGTCAGCGTCCTCCTGTACGAGCCAAAACATGTAAATGTAGCCGGGCTCGTCAGACTCGGCGACGGGGCGCACGAGCTCGGCCATGAGCAAGGACGCGGTTGCGGCATCGAGCGAGTCGGGGATGAGATGCTTCATCTGCGCCGTGAGTGAAGCTTCTGATCTGGTGCTCTTTGCAGGTGATGGCAGCGGCGGCGGCTGGTCGTGTTTTGAAGAGGGCGGTCGGTGACGGTTCGGATATGGTGCTGTAGATGGTCGTTGAGGCTGGTACGTCGGCATCGGCTCCTGCTGGTATGGCTTATCCGCAGGTCTTGGTTTCGGTTTCTCTGCTGGCTCGTCATCGAGCTGCTCAATCGGGATGCTGAAGCAGCAGCAAAGCTGGAGCTGGCTCGTCTTCTGCTTCTTATTCTTCTTCTTGTGCTGCGGCGGCCTAGACGGTCTCGCGGGCTTGCTTTGGAACCCCGCCGGGTAGACTGGTGCCCCCCCTGCTCCTCCTCCATTTGGTCGTCTGCCAGGCTTACCCGGCCGCCCAGCAGCGTTCTTATCACCAATGTCCACCAGGCCCAGCCGGTCCGCCAGCGTGTCCAGACTCGTGCGCTCCTCGCGAATCGTCGGCACTGCGACGTGCCCGATGCCGCTGCCTTTGGGTCCCGTGCCAGACCGCGTCGAGTGACTGGCCTGCTCCTTGTGCTGCCAGCAGTAGAGACTCTCGTCCGTAGGGTCGTCGTCTGGGATGGCGGTCAGGCGGCCGCCTCTGCCGTACCGCGTGCCAGCGTCGGCCCGCGCGCCAAGAGGCCGACGACAAGGGCGCCCGGCAGAGGTGATGCCGCGACATGTTGACTTGGGATCCTTGGAGTCGGAGCGCGCGAGCAGTGACTCGGGCGTGTTTGCGACAAACGGCATGGTGGCCGGGTGCACACAGACAGACGCGTGTTGTCGGGTGTGGAGGTGAACTGAGTCAGACACCCGCCCGCGGTGTGGGTTAAGCCATCCAGACAATATCAAGTCTCAAAATCAACCAAAAATGAAAAAAAGACAACCACGAATTTTTCTCTTCCGATTTACGTTGGGGCCAGATAACAGGACATTCCTTATTGCGTTGTTGTGCTATTTTTTCTGGGGACAGGTACTAAACAAGGAGCTCTGACCAGCGGCTGTACCTGCTGTGTGGGCCCAAAAGAGGCCAGCCAGAACTTCAACCCTACCAACAACTACTTAATCAAGGACAATCCCCCTCCGGGGCAGCGCCAGCACTATTCCAAGAACGAGGCCGCCAAAACTCCCATGCAGGTGACAAAGGGCAATTCTTCATGTGCATGGCGGCGATTATACTCGCAAAGCGATAGAAACGGGTGATACCAAATTATCATTAGCCGCCTCCTAGTCTGGACCAGCGGAGATGTAATGCTAGAACGACAACTACATACCTTCCATGGACCACGACAAGCGGTCCGATATCTTCAACACACCGCCTGTCTCTCCGCAACCTAACTTTCCATTCATTTTTTTTCTTCCCTTCCCTCAGCAGTCGGGGCCGTCGTGGTAAAATATGTGCTTTGCAGGTCAGTCAATAGCCAAGTAGTAGCATATGCAAGATTCGCCGCTACGAGTTTCCATATAAGTAATTTCAGTGTCTCGATCTCTAATAATCCACATCAGCAGAACGCCGATAGGCATTTAACAATAGGGAAGGTGTCTCTTGCTTCCGGCCAGTCGATCGGCGGACTGCTCCTCGCTGTGTACTAAGGCACTTTATAGGGCACCCGGTCGTATCATTTCCACTTGGAAGAGTTTTGCATAACACCGTTGTATCAGGTGAGGATGCAAGGTTTATTGCTGTAATATATGCGTGGTATAAAACATTTGGCCACGTTCTGATCTGGAAATGATAGATTAAGCGTCTTATTACGGGATCCCAAGTGATCTCTTGTCACACTTAAACTGGTTGAGTCGTACGTTCACGTAATGAGAAACCTTTGTAGGCAAGGTAAGGTTTGATAAAAAACATATGCATTGCCTTAATTAGAAGAACGAAATAGACTAGCCAGCAACCTAAGGCTACTTAGCTCTACTTACTGTAGCGGCGACATGGATCCTGATTAGGAAAGAAAACTAGGGCGGCAAGCTTTTACGTTCCACCCGCGACACTACCCAACCGAATCCCTATTCTCAGTCGTCGGGGTGCTGGACTAGCATGCGAGGAGTGGACGTCGGTCCAAGCCAGAGGCTACCACTTTGGTAAACTCAGGAGTAGCCACGGCTGAAGAAGTTCCAGTGTACTCAGGGGAAGCCACAGCCGAATAAGGTCCGGTGGGCTCAGGAGTAGCCGCTACTGAGGAAGAAGATGCAGTGTACTCAGGGGTAGCCGCGGCTGAAGAAGGTCGCTGGTCCATGTTAGAGGTCGCTGTCTCATTGCGCTGGAAGGTAGCTGTGATGGAACCAGGTCGCCGTGTCGTTGTTCCATTGCGCTCAAGGGTAGCCGCGATTGAGGTAGGTTGCTGTGTCGTTGTTTCATTGCGCTGAAGAGCGGCAATAACCTCCTTTGCACCGCGAATGCCCGATAGCACTGCACCCTCCATGTATCCCTTCCACGCGTACGAAGTCTCGGTACCGATGAAGTGGACATGCCCGTAGCGGTCACGAATCGACTGGCCAGCCGCGCTCGTCATCAAGCCGGGCATCATCACCGGGTTCGGGTTTCCCTGCGCCCAGGGGTCCTTGGTCCACTCCTTTTCAATGATATTGATTGGCTCGGGGATGCTCTCGACAGCCGTGCCAAAGGCATTGTGAAACTGGTCCAGTACAGCCTTGCGTCGTCCTTGTGCGTCCAGCTTTGACCACTGTCGGCCAGTCTCGCCGGTGTGGAAGCACGTGAGACTGAACTGGCCCATTTCAGGGACACAGGTGTCTCTGGTAAAGGAAATGGGTCCGTAGATGGAAGAAAACACGCCAGAGAGGTTTGCATGGCGCCACCACGGCTCCGAATACACCAGCACAGTCTTGGAATAGTAGCCGAGCTTGGTTGACTGAGTGAGAATGCGTTTTGGCTCGGGCAAACGAGGAGTAAACTCAATCTGTGGTATCAGGCTGGTCGGAACGGATAGCAAGACCTTTTTGGAGACGTAGACCTTGTCGTCTTGGGTCCGGACTATGCAGTGGTCGGCGGCTTGAGTGATGCTCTTGACGGCTGAAGAAAGCTGCACAGTGTTTGGCTTGAGTTTGCTCGCAAGCTTCTTGGCAAAGTTTTGGTTGCCTTGCCGGTTCCGCAGATATTGGGCTCCATGCTTGGTATCGGAGCTAATGTTCAAGAGGCCCGTTCCACTCTTGATGAAGTCGATGAGGTACAAGGCGCTGACCTCCTCGGGGTCCACGCCAAGAAGAGCCCGGACAAGGGTGTAAGTAAAGGTTGTCGCGATTTTAGCCGGAAACTCGCTCTGCACGAATTCCAAAGCAGTCATCGAGTCTAGTTTCACTGCATCTTGCCCGAGGTGTGGGTTTTCGAGATCAGAGCGATCAATGTACTGTTGCATACCCTGCGCAAAGGTGGATAGCTCACCCAATTGCTCCGAGGTCAACTGGCAATATGTCAGTCTCATGGCAGTAACACAAGCGACAATGACTTACGTTGGCAGGCATTCCATAAGGTACCAGAGACATTTGCCCTTTATCGTCTTGAGAGATGGACAGCCCCTCTGTACGCTGAACCACGAGGTCAAACCCAAACTCTTTCGCCATGGCGTACATTTCAGACTGGTTGCTGTCGTTGATCCACGCTGCACCCAAGTCCACCACGGCGGTGCCGTTTGAAGAAGCCTGAACGGAAAGAGTCTTGCCACCTACGCGGTCCATGGCCTCGAGGACGACATAAGAGAGCCCTGCGTCGTGAATCTCGGTGGCGGCGCGGAGACCGCTGAGCCCGGCTCCAACGACAATGACGTTGACAAACTGGGCCGGCAAAACCATCTTGTCGAAGAATTGGTGAAGAAGAGAATGTATCAGTCTTGGTTTGTTATAATTGAAATCTTTAAACTGTTGTTTCTGTGAAGAAAAAAGTAAGTGGCAGCAGCATGTTTTATAGTGATTGCCATTCTTCCTCCAATACTATGAACTCGCCTTTTCATATAAGGACTTGACTCTTTCTGCAATAACATGTATTCAATGACTCGTGATACAAAGGGGCGAAGCATCTTAGCTGACAGATATAGGCAATAGTCCTGTCTTCAGTAGGCCATTATCATAGATTCTCACCAAATGCATCAAGTAACGATATCTTATTCCAAGACTTATCCGTCGTTTAGCCGTACCTGTGGAGGAGCCACGATATAACTTATGGGTCGAGTAAATTAAAGTACGAAGCATTGTCCGAAATAGGCAGGGGATGAGTAGACTGAAGCACCATTCTCCACCATTACCATGCCCTGCAGACCTTGTCCTTCGGGCCCGAGGCAACTTCTGAAGAGGACAAGCCTGACTGCCGCATCAGCCAGTCTAAGCCATGTTGCGCTGCCAAGCCAGTGAATTTCCGAACTTTAGCCGATGCTTAGTTGACTACGGAGTACCTAGGTACGTATGTGCTGGGTTGGAAGCCGTGGCCACCACTTTTGCGATAGCTGCTGTAAAAAAATAAAATAAAAACAAAAATAAAAAAGAGTTTTGCTAGGGGCATAGGTAGTACATAATGCCTACTCTAAATTTTTAAAGGGTTTGTTTGTTGCGACTGTAGGAGGATTCAGTGGTCAAAGCACCGGAATAACGGGATGCAGCCGCTGACCGGGCGCTTGGCCCCGGCGGCTGCACGCGCTAACTAATAAACGTTCTAGCTTCCTGAAGGCAATTAATTACCTTTAGGCCTTCTATAGAAGCCGCTTTTAGAGGTAAGTTTTACTCTAATACCTAGCTTAATAGTATATTTTTCCTTTATCTTTCTTTACTTTTATTTTAGTACTATATCTTATATATAATATATTTTTCTTATATTTTAATAAATAAATAATTTAAATAATAACTAAATTATATTATATACTTTTATATTAGGCCTAGTAAAAGTTACTTTAATACTTTATATATATAATTTAACTTAAAACTTATTTAAAATTAAGTTCTTTTAATATTAATTAATAATTAAATTAACTTAATTATAAAATAATTAAAGATTTTTTTATTTTTTTTTTATTTTTTTTATTTTGTTTTATTTATTATATAAACTATTAAAATAACTAAAAATGATAAAAATATTATTAATAATATACTAATAAATATTATAAACCTTAATACTAAACCTTTTAATTTAATTATATAATTATTAAAATTAAAAGTTTTATTTAATTTTAAAATTAATTTTCTTAAAGAATTTAAAAAGTTTTAATACTTTATACTTAAAAAATAATACTAATTTTAGTCTATAATAATTACTTTAGATACTAATTATATTATTAAATTTAGTTTAATAAAGATATTAGTATTAGTTTTTTATAGTTTATTTATAAATTTTTATTAAAAATATTATAAAAAATAACTTTAAGAATATCTTTATAAAGATTTTAGTTATTAACCTAAGATAATATAAAGGAAGATTAACTAAGACTTAAACTAAGAAATAAAGGATTTACTAGTCTTTAAAGGAGTATCTTTAATTATAAGTAAAGGATAGTTTATTTATAAAACCTTATATAATATAATTAATAATATTTTTATTAATACTTTAGGTATTAAAAATAAAAATACTTTATATAAGGAAATTAAACCTAAATAGTTTATATAATAAGCTATAAAAAAAGCTATTAAAGACTAAGATAAAGTCTTTAAACCTTATAAAGAAAACCCCTTTTTAGGCTTTAGCTACTTTAACTTTAATAAGAAGCTAAAGATTACTATTAAAGTTAAAATATTATAACCTTTATTAATACTAAGGTAAAGAAAAAGTATTAAAGATTTTTTCCTTAATCTTATTAAGTATTTTAATAGTAACTATTCTTTTTTTAAAAATAGAAGCTAATTTACTTACTTAAAACTTAGTTAATACTTTAAATAGCCTAATAATAATATATTTAATAATAAATATAATATCTTAAGTATAAATATAAGACTTTAATACCTAAATATTTTAATAATATTATTAACTAAATTAACTTAATATAAAACTATAATACTTAAACTAAATACTAAAACCCTTTTTAAAATAACTATAAGGTATAGTTAGTTAAATTAGATATTAACTATAAGTAAAAAGTTTTATTAGAAGAACTTAGAAATAATATATAATAACTAATATAAAGAGATATATCTTTTTAATTTCTTAAATAATAAAAAAAAATAATAACGTTTACTCTAAAATAATAACTAAAAAATAAAAAATATATTATATATTAATAATTATAATATATATTAATAATAAATAAATTAAAGTATATAAGTATTAAAGAAGGTATTAATAAATAAGATTTAATACTTTTTTTTTATTAAAATACTAGAAATTAGTAATTAGTATAAACTAGAAACTACTTTATATTTTTTTATAGTAATAACTATAAAAACCCTTAAGGATAAGGAGGATATAGTAAAGGAAGAGAAGGTAGTAAGATACTACTACCCCTTAGAAGAGATCCTTCTAGGTTTTTAAAAGGCTATTAGCTACCTAGAAATCTAAATAATTTAAGATATTATAATAAAAATAGTAATAAAGGCTACCCTATACCTCTAGGACCTCTAGGACCTTTAAGATCTCTAGGACTACCTAAAAATCAATAAAAAAACCCTAATTTTATACCTTTAGTAAATATAATAATATTAAAAATATTTAATAATATTAT